AATGAATGGGAGAGGAGAAACACAGCCTGCTAGCGGTGGGTGGGTTGCTTTCCTGTTTTATTTGCGTGTTCATGCCAGACAATAGATTGCATGTGTGTTGGGGGGAAGGTTTTATTTTTCTTGAAAATATCACATTGTTAAAGTCACTTTGGCTTTTATTTATTTAGATTAGCCTGTATCTTCCAGGGGTGAGGGGGTGGGGGTGAGAAAGGGATAGAAATAATGGGTTTGTTAAATTACGTGCAAAACTGTTTTTTAAACTAGCCTTTTTTTAAAAAAAGTAAAAGCAGACATTCAGCTCTGATCTAGAATGCAGTTTCCCCTAACAGTCTCTTCCCTGTAAGAGACTTTTATTATATCTAAATGTTAAACATGTGTATGATATTAAACCATATGACTTTTAGAAGACATCTGATGGCAGCTCTGTATAGAGAATTTTTTAATATTTGATGTTACTGTCTTTTATATTTTGTTGGAAGCTGCTCAGAGTGACTGGTGCTATCCTGGGAGATGGGCAGGGTACAAATAATAAAAATATTACTACTACTACTACTACTACTACTACTACTACTACTAACAGCAGCAGCAGTTACTAAAATCATCTCATGATGTGATTCTGGCATGATTTCTATACTTGCACAATACAGTTAATAACAATGAAAATGCTCCCAGTCTGTATCTTCTGCACACACAAACACATCCCTTACTATCCAGGCACTCATCTGACCATGCCTCTTTCTCTTTACCAGATGACAGTTCCGTTCCTGATGAGATTTATAAAGGCTGTGCCACCCCATCTTTTTGTGACATGGCCAGGAATTCCCTGTATACTTTTCGGGCACTATAACTGAATCACGATGCTGTGAAGCGCTGCGTTCATCAGAACAGCTCAACTTTGAAGGGTAGTTAGGAGATGTCTTCTTCCTTTTGGATTCCACCATTTGCTGCAATAATGGAGGTGGAGGTCGCTTGCCTGGTGGTGGGAGTGCAGAGCAATGGGATTCAGAGGACTCCTGAGTCCTCTCTTTGCCATTTTGTGGAGGGTGAATGGAATGCACAGAATAGAAAAGCTAAAGTAGGAAAGGGGGCCTTGGGGGCTCTGACTCATGATTATATGGTATATGGGTTTAAAATTTCCTTTGTTCATAATCAAAATAAATTGGTGTGGCAAATAAAAACTGTTGTGTGTCAGTAGTTATCAAATTAAGAATATTTAGCAGTGGCAGCAGCAAGAACAGTGTCTTTAGAAGAAACAAATGGGTAATTTGTAAGTTATTTTATTGATTTAGCAAATGCATATACCACTCCATATTTCAACAAAATCTCCAAGTGGCTAACAATATCAAAAATTCAGACAAATACAATAAAAAATTCCCACCAACTTATCCAGAGGAGAATATTGAAGAAAGGTTTAAAATGCAGCTGACTCTGGGCTATTGTAGCTGCTTTTCTGGCAATTTGCCATGCAGCACTAGGCAGCCAGGGGAGATTACTGCTGTCTGGCAAAACTCTGGAGAGCCATTGAGGGACTCAGGAGAGAGGAACATAAGAGGATCCCTGCTGGATCACACCAAAGACCCCTCCTTGCTGCTATCACATTCCTATATAACCCCATGCCTATGAGGAGCCCAGAAAACAAGGCATGTACACAATACCTGGGGTCTCCAGTATTGAGTAGAAAGAGCATTGGAGTCCAGTCCACTAATGGGGCAATGCCCTCCCACTGAAAACATCAAGCGAAAAGTGCCCCCCAATCTTAAAGCAACAACACTTTCCTGTCTCATACACATTTTATGTTTCCATTTCTGTTAGTCTCAGATCAATCTGCTCTTTGCACCTCTAACCCAATCCTCGTCCCAAATATAGCTATGGCAAATGAGTACTTCCGGTCCTGCATACCTGAACGTGCATCTTCAGTTCCATTGTTCAGGATACTAAGGTCCAGCTCTGAGGCCCTGCTGGTAGTTTCCTCACTGTGAGAAGTAAAGTTACAAGGTACCAGACAGAGGGCCTTTACGGCCCTGGTGCCCTCATTGTGGAACACCCTCCCATCAGATGTCAAGGCGATAAAAAAGTACATAACTTTTAGAGAGAAATCTTTGCTCTGCACTCCTCTCAGCTCTCATTCCTCCCCCTTTGACTGCTATGGATGCATGACCTAACTGCCTGCCTCTAGGCACTGTGGTGGTCTGCAATGGACTCCCAAATAGATGGGTGGATATTGCCAGTTATCATGTCATGTTTGCAGACATTCTGTGGAAAGGCGATCCAATAAAACTTTGTACGCAGTCTCTATTTTCACCATTTCCCTCCCTCACTGGATAAGTTCTTTCCAACTCTAGCCCTTTTCCTCCAGGCCAGTGTCTTCCTCCACAGGTCCCCTCCTGCTTTGTTCTGAGTGTTTCTCGGCACTATGAAGGCTTTCCGCAGTGCCTGCCTTCTCTTGGTCCTGCTTTCTCCAAGTGTGTAGGAGTGAGTAGGAGCCTGAAATTCTGGATTATCTTTCTCGTCTACCTGGGAGGAGAAATGCAGAGGACAAAGCTCGTGAGAAAGAGATAGGTTAATTGGAGACAAATGAAGCTGAAGAAGGTGGATTAGACCAGGCACAGGCAAACTCAGCCCTCCAGATGTTTTCGGACTACAAGTCCCATCATCCCTGACCACTGGTCCTGTTAGCTTTCTTTCTATACTTGAGCAATACAGTTAATAACATTTGAAATGCTCCTATTCTGTATCTTCTGCACACACAAAGTCATCCCTTACTACCCAGGCACTCATTTGACCATGGCTCTTTCTCTTTACCAGTTCAGTTCCTGATGAGATTTATAAAGGCTGTGCCAGCCCATCTTTTTGTGACATGGCCAAGAAATCTCCGTATAATAAATACTTTTTGGGCAGAATAACTGAAGCACGATGCTATGATACACTGCCTTCCTCAGAACAGCTCAACTTTGAAGGGTAGTTAGGAGATGTCTTCCTCCTTTTGGATTCCACCATTTGCTGCAGTAGTGGAGGTGGAGGTTGCTTGCCTGGTGGTGGGAGTGCAGAGCAAATGGGATCCACAGGACTCCTAAGTCCTCTCTTTGGCATTTTGTGGAGGATGAATGGGGTGTAGAGGATAGAAATTCTATAGTAGGAAAGGGGGGCTTGGGGGCTCCGGCTTCCGTTAATATGTGGGTTAAAATTGCCTTTGTTTATAATCAAAATATAGCACTCCATATTTCAATGAAATCTCTAAGTGGCTAACAATATCAAAAGGACATCATCAAAAATTCAAACAAATACAATAAAAAAATTCCCACCAACTTATCCAGAGGAGAACATTGAAGAACGGTTTAAAATGCAGCTGACTC